CTGTTTCAAGGTGGGCGTTCAATTTCTTCAGTACTGGACAGTCCCTACTCTTAATGCTTGTCAATTTGAAAGGGAGGGTGGATGTTATTTTTTAGTTTTAACTTTCACTTCTTTATCTACATGTAATTTTGAATTGCTTTAAGCAAGTTGATTAGCAATGTATTTTTCTTCTTTATTTAACAGATGTTTACATATTTTACTTATTTTAAGTTTGGGCATTTGTGTTTTATAAGTTGATCAATGAAAGCTTGTTAATCATTGTGAATCATTGTGAAACTTTATTACTCAAGATCTGTTATAAGATACGTGTATCTCTCTCTCTCTCTGTCTATATATATATATATATATATATATATATATATATATATACACACAGATGCTTTTTCCCCATCTCCATCAGTGAGATTATTTCATACACTTGTAATACAGTTAGATCCTTTTGTCACATTCTGCACTTAATTCTGGGATCCCTTGACCTCTTAAATAATTTTTAAAATTTGCATAAATTACAGTTCACTCTTTGTATTGTAAAGTTCTGTGGATTTCAACAAATGCATAGTGTCATACATCCGCCATTGTGATATTATGCAAAATAGTTTCACTACCCAAAAAAAAAAATTCTGTGCTTGACCTTTTCAGCACTCCCCACTTTTCCATAACCCTGGCAACTCCTGACCAGGTTACTCTTTCCATAGTTTTATTGTTCCAGAATGTCAGATAAATGGAAACATACAGTATTTAGCCTTCTCAAATTGTCTTCTTTCACTTAGCATTTTAAACTCATAAATGTTTATGTGAGGCTTGATAGTTCATACCTTTTTATCACTGAATTGTATCCCATTGTATGGATGTACGACAGTTTATCTACCTATCCACTATTAAAAGACAGCTTGATTGCATGTAGATTTGAACATATATGAATAAAGCTGCTATAAACATTCGTTTGCAGATTTTCATGTGAATGTAAGTTTGCAAATCCATTAGATAAATACCTAGAAATGTGATTGTTGAGTCATATAGGAAGACTATATTTAGCTTTATAATAAACAGCTGAACTGATTTCCAAAGTGACTGTACCATTTTGCATTCCCACCAGCAATGACAGGTTTTTTCTTGCTCCACATCTTGACCAGCAATGGGTACTGTCAGGTTGTTTTGTTGAAGTTTAACCATTATAATAAATGTGTAGTGGTATCACATTGTTTTAATTTGCTTTTCTCTAATGACAGATGATTTTGAGCATCTCTTTATATGTTTATTTGCCATCTGTATATATTCTTTTTTAGTTTTATTAATGTATAATTGACAAATAAAATTGTAAGATTATTTAAAGTGTACAACATGATAAAAGAATTCCTTCCATCAAGTTAATTAACATACATCCATCACTTCACATATTTACCTTTTTTGTGCATGTGAGAACATTTAATTTCTACTCTTAGCAAATTTCAATTATACAATATAGTCACTGTGTTATACCATGTTAGATCCTCAGGCCTTATTCATCTTATAATGGAAAGTTTGTACCTTTTAACTACCAGTTCCTATCTCTATTTTCCCCCACTCCCAGCCTCTAGCCACCACTTTTCTACTCTATTTCTATAAGTTCAACTTTTCTTTTAGATTCTAAATGTACATGACATCATGCAATATTTGCCTTTCTGTCTGACTTATTTCACTTAGCAGATTGCCCTCCAAGTTCAGACATGTTGTCACAAATGACAGAATTTCCATCTTTTTAAGTTGAATAATATTTCATTGTATACTTATACCATATTCTCTATATCCATTCATCCATTCATGGACACTTATTGTTTCCACACCTTAGCTATTAGTTTTTTTTCCATACCAATGAACATGGGAGTACAGACGTCTCTTCAAGATAATGGTTTTGTTTCCTTTGGATATATACCCAGAAGAGGGATTACTGGATCTTATGGTAGTTCTAGTCTTAATTTTTTGAGGAACCTCCATATTGTTTTCCACAGGTGCTATACCAGTTGACATTCCCACCAACAGTGTGCAAGTGTTCCCTTTCTCCACATTCTCACAAGCCCTTATTATCTCTTGTCTTTTTGAAAATAGACATCCTAACAGATGCGAGGTGATATTTCATTGGGTTTTTGATTTGCATTTCCCTGATTATTAGTGATGTTGACCATTTTTTATGTACCTGTTAGCCATTTGTATGCTTCTTTGGAAAAATGTGTATTCAGATCCTTTGTCCATTTTTTAATTGGGTTATTTGGGGGTTTTTTTTGCTATTGAGTTGTATGAGTTTCTTGTATATTTTGTATATTAATCCTTAATGACCATATAGTTTGCATATATTTTCTCCAGTTCTATAGGTTGCCTTATCATTTTGCAGGTGGTCTCTTTCACAGTACTGAAGCTTTTCAGTTTGATGTAGTCCCACTTGTTCATTTTTGGATTTGTCACGTGTGTTTTTGATGTCAAATCCAAAATATCATTGCCAAGACCAATGTCAAGGACCTTACTCCCTATATGTATTTCTAGGGGTTTTATGTTCAACTCTTTAATTCACTTTGAGTTAATTTTTTTTATAAGGTGTAAGATAGGGATCCAGATAGGATTCTGCATAAGGCTCTTCAGTTTTTCTAACATCATTTATTGAAGAGACTATCCTTTCCCCATCATATATTCTTGGCTCCTTTGCCATAAATTAATTGACAATATATGCATGTGTTTATTCTGGGCTCTCTATTCTGTTCCATTCATCTACGTGTGTGTTTTTATGCCAATACCTTATTGTTTTAATTATTACAACTTGGTAGTATGGTTTGAAATCAGGAAGTGTGATGCCTCCAGTTTTGTTACTTTTTCTCTAGATTGCTTTGGCTAATTGTGGTGTTTTATGGTTCAATACAAATTTGGGGATTGTTTTTTCTACTTATGTGAATAATGATTTAGAATTTTGATAAGTATTGTATTGAATTTGTAGATCACTTTGGATAGTATGGACATTTTAACAATATTAATTCTCCCAATCCATGAACACAGAGCATCTTTTCATTTATTTGTATCTTCAGTTTTTCATCAATGTCTTAGTTTTCAGAGTACAAATCCTTTACTATTAAATTTATTCCTAAGTATTTCATTCTTTTTAATGCTATTATAAATTGAATTTTTTTAAAAAGTTCTCTTTTTAATAGTTCATTTTTGGCATATAAAAATGCAAATTATTTTTGCATTTTGATTTTGTACCCTGCAATATTACTGAATATCTTGACTAGTTCTAATAGTTTTTTCAGTCTTTAGGGTTTTTTCTATAGAGTATCATGTCATCTGCAAATAGACAATTTTACTTTTTCTTTTTCAGCTTGGATACCTTTTATATCTTTTCTTTAAAAACCTAATTGCTCTGGCTAGGACATCTAGTACTATGTTATTTTTCACATTCAATTTAAAACTCAATTTAAAATTCCAAAATTAATTCCATTGTGATACTGACCACAGAAGCATTAAATGTATATGTTTATTTGGGAGAAATTGACATCTATATGCACATCATTATGCATTATTCAATTCTTTTCTTATGTTCTTTAGTGAAATTTTGAAGTCTTATTCATACAGTTCCTCAATGTTTATTACTGACTTTATTCTAGGCTGTTTAAATTTGAGGTGTATTATGAATATGATTTTTCCTTTTATATTTGAATTATTTATGAAAATTTTTCTATTTATTTTATAATTATGAAGTTTACTGAATTCTTTTATCACTTCTAAGAGTTTCTCAGTTCATTCACTTGTTTCTAGAAAGCTATGTAATTGTATATTATATTTTGGTGATGATGGACAATGATGATTATGATGAAGAAAACGCTGTTGATTCCTCACCATATCCATGGTTAAGCACAGTGTTTATGAACATGTACTTGAGAATTAGGAAGATGTGAGTTTCTGCAATAATTATACTTTTTCCCTTCTCTCTTGCATTGATTAATCTTCCAAAACATGTATTTTCTCAGTAATGTTTGTGGGCATTTTTGTCTCGGTCCTGTGATTAACGGTAATGCCTCTAGTGCAGCACTTCCAAGACTGACATCTCATAGATCATTGGTCCCACAGAGTGTTCATCCAAAGAAATTGCACAGTTAAGTAGATTTATACACAATGCAAACTATATCCTCTAGTTTAAGGTTCACAGTACGTTTTAGCACTTTAAAATGATCAATTGTCAATAGCTTTACATTACAATATAATATTCTCTAACCTAGTGTTTCCAGAACTTTTATGACCTTGGAACTCTTTCACAGAACTCATGGAACTTCTATTAATATCCCAGCAATGGTGTGTTCTTTTGATGTTCTAAATGCTGCTATCATTTACATTTCTGAATCCGTATTCTTGTGAGGTTGACTGGTCTAGAATTTTCTTTCTTTTTTTCTGTCCAACTTGGTTATCAGGATTAAATTTGTTTAAAAAATTAAGTTGAGGCTATCTTTTTTTTCTTTCTCTTTCTATTTCTCCTTTTCTATTGTAGGGAGTTTAGTATATATAGTTTATATAGCACAGGAATATCTGTTCCTTGAAAATTTAAATGAACTCATTAGTAAAACTAAACTTTTGCTTATTGTGGAGTTAATATTTTCAAAACATGTGTCATTTTCTTCCATGATTACTGTCAGGTTCACAAGACTTTTTTATTAATCAATATGAATACTATTTGGTTTCTTTAAAACAGCCCATTTCATCATGACTTTCAAATCTATGTTTTTAAGACATGAGATTTTAAGACAAACTCATACATATTGTTTCATGGAATAACATTTTATTTTTTAAATCTTAACAAAAGCTATAAATACTTTTTTATTTCTAATCTTTACTTATATATTTTATCCTCCTACTTGGAATATGTAGAGAATTATTTCCCAAAGTAGCTTCAATGGAATATTAATAAGTCAGATATTTAAAAGATAAAGGAAAAGATCCATGGTCAGAAGGAGAGTGGAATGGAGAATTAAACAAGTTAGACAAGGTTTTTTTTTTTTAATAGATTTTATTCTTTTAGAGCAGTGTCAGGTTCACAGGTTCACAGCAGAATTGAGCAGAAAATAGAGAGTTCCCACATAGCCCTTCCCACCCACACATGTATACTCCCCTACCCTAAACATCCCTCATCACTGTGGCATATTTGGTACATTCGCTGAAGCAGCATGGGCACATTATTATCAACCGAAGTCCATAGTTTACATTAGACAAAGTTTTAACCACTAGGTTTCCTTGATATGTTGATTTACATTGTGAATCTGGATGTAGCATTTGCAAAATTTGTTTAACAAGAAGCTCCTTATTTTTTCAATTTACCATTTCAAAAGATGCTGTTCTAGAGATTTGTGTAGTTAAATTATTTCATTTAAAAAATCATGTCTGAAATGGCTCTGAGACTCAATTTTCAATGCATGGAGATGAGGGAGTTGTTCCCACACAGAACGAAGTAATTCTCCAGACACCAGGTAGGTGTCCTACAATTCAATTTAATTTTGGCACTATCTACCCAAAGATCACATCAGATTCCACAGGTTAAGGGTTCAGTCCTATAAGATGGTCCCCACTCCCGCTTCATACTCCAGTTGCAAGCCCAGGTTGTTACTTGTGCTTCTGTCTGACTGGCTATAAATGAGAGGATCCCACAATCCTCTCCTTGGGGTCAGTTAATTTGGTAGAGTGGCTCGCAGAACTTAGAGAAATATTTTACTTACTAGATCAATGGTTTATTATAAAAGGGTACAGCTCAGGAACAACCAGTGGTAAAAGATGCATAGGGCAAGGCATTGGGAAATAGCAGAGTGTCCATGCCCTCTCCAGGCTCACCACTCTTCTAGGACTTCTATGTCTTCACCAACCCAGAAGCTCTTTGAATGCAGTCCTTTTGGCTTTTTTATAGAGGCTTCCATACATAGACTCGATTGATTGAATCACTGGCCACCTGCAGTTGATTCAATCTTCACCCCCTTTCTCCTCTCCCCTCACTAGAGGTTGTGGGGGACAGCACGAAAAGTTCCAAACCTCTGATCATGTAATTAATTCTCCTTACAACCAGACTCCTTCCTTAAGTGCAGTCCAAAAGTCACCTCATTAAAATAACAGAAGACACCATTTTTGCTCTCAGCACTTAGAAAATTTTAAGAGTTTTAGGAGCTCTGCCAGAAACGGGACTGAGACCAAATATATATTTCTATTATAAATCACAATATTGCATCTCAATTCATGTAGCTTTCCTTTTTCTAATGCATTACATTTGTTTTATCTATACATGTTTCTTTGCCTCAATTTCCTTAGATTTATTTTATTTTTATTTTTCAAACATCTTGAATTAAAATAATTTGTTCAGTTTTTACCTTTTCTCACTTAATAAAGAAAGCATGTTGTGAGGTGATAGATATGTTAATTAGCTTGAATGTAGTTATTACATAAGATACACTTATAACAAACACAACACTGTATATCTTTAGTACATACAATTTTTTATTTGTCAGTTATATCTTAAGCTGAAAAACTGAAAGCATGTGAAGCTATAAATTTGACTCTGAGTACAGCTTTAACTATATCTCATAGGTTTTTATGATTTGTAGTCTTACTAAAATTTTCTAATATTTCATAACTATAATACTGATTTCCTTTTTTATAGCAGAATTATTTAGTAAAGTGTTTTTGTTTTTAAATTTTCAACTGATTTTAATGTGATATTTTAAAATTCTATAGTTATATTGCCTTGATATAGAAATATGCCTTCTAAATTTTTTGCACTGGGGAATTGAGTGAAGTTTTTCTTATGGTTAGTCATGACCAACTTGTGAAAATTCTCCAGACCTGTTATGCTCCAATCAATCTTACATATTTCTAAAAAATTATGCTTTATTGATTCATTTTGCACATAACAGTTCATGCACATTACACATTCATTGTGCATTTTACCCTTTACCGTTAAACATTGATTTTTTTTTCCATTACTTTCTGCCTTGAATTTCACTTCTTTGTTATTACACCCACTGCTTTCTTTTTGTTTGTCTAATTAGTCATTTTGTTTAAAGGAAAGATCTTACAGGAAATATACTGCTTATTTTTTTTTTTTGAGATAGCTTTTAGCTTATTTATTTTACTACAATAATCATGTTTTATTTCTGACATGTTTTCTGATGTTATTAAAATGTTTCTTTCATTTTTTATTGCATATTGTATAAATTGTGGTATTATTGATTTTTATTCTCTTAATCTTTTTATTTTCTAAGCCGTACTCTAAACAATTTTGTTCTAATCATTATTTTAAAGAGTTAAGCAATATCTATTAGCATTCCTTCTTGACCACTAAGGACAGTAACAACATCAGTACAATTTGTTTTTTCCTCCCATCTCGCTCTCTGTAGTGAATTTTAGCATTATCTGGGATTTATTCTATCTGGTTCCTTATTTTTGTATCTTATAATTCTCTTTTAAATTAATATTTAGGACTTCAACTCAGTTTTATAATCTTCTTTGTGAAATATTTAATCTAAATTCTATTGTTTCATGGTTTTAAAATTCATTGACAGTTTTTTTCTTACTAACAACACAGTTTTCCCATTACTGAGTTTTTCATCTTGAAATATCCCTCACTCATTTGAAATATCTCTTGGAGTAATATTTTAAGAAGAGTATATGAGTATTTAACTTACCAAGTCTTTCACGTATCAGACTCTTCCGGTTACCATCACACATAAATGCCAACTTTGTGCAAGGTAGAGGAGGGGCCAAGAGAGTCATGTTGGCAAAATGACTTAATAAGATAAGCTCTAACGGTTCCAAAGTATATATTGAAGACATGTTGGTACACTTTAAGTTCCCTCTTAGAATGTAATTACCTTGCTGGGTGCGTGGCATGACATCAGTGTGGCCTGTCTGATACATAGCAAGGAAAATCAAGACCTAAGACTGTTCTATACTCCTTTACAGGCTTTGAACTGTGGACTTTGAGGAATAACTTCAATAATATTGAGTGAACTATTACTTCAAACATTACAATATTGCTTGGTAATTCAGGAAAAGAAACACCAATGTCCAAAGTACCTTTGATCTAAACTATTCCTCCTAGCCAAGTGCCCTTTACAAGAAAACTTTCTCAATCATGCACAAATGGAAAAGTTTGTTCATCTGTCTTGTTCTGAAAATCTTCATGCTCTGTTATTCTAAATTGGCACAACTTTCTAAATTTCCCTAGCCTTTGATTAGAAATTTGAACAAAAGAGGTCATACCCCCCAGTGATGAAAGGTTGAATTGTTTCATAATTGCCTTACCATGTGGAGAAAATAATGTTGGATATATACTTTATATCACGTATTAAGGCATATATATGGCAGGTAGATTGAAGACCTAAATGTGAAAAGTAAAACTATAAAGCTAATATACAAAATTATAGAAAAATATTTTTATAATCTTGAAGATGGAAAGAACTTCTTCAGTAAGCCAATATCATAAGGTAAGATATTGATGGTTTTGGTTGAATAAATAATAAGTGTTCTATTCAGAAATGACACCATAAACAAAATTAACAGAAAAATAGATTGGAAAAAAAAAAGCTTAGAGTGTCAAAAACTAATTAGGAACAAGATAATTTAATGGGGAAATAGTAGTCTTTTCAACAAATAGTGCTGGGATTAATTGAATATCCACAATCAAAAGAATAAAGTTGGACTACTTACACCATACACAAAAATTAACTTAAAATGAGTTACATATTTAAATGTAAGAGGTAAAACTATAAAACCTTTAGAAAAAATGAAGTCAATCTTTATGACTGAGTTAAGTGACTTAGATATGAAACCAAAAATATGTGTGAAGAAAGAAAAATAGATAAAATGAACGCCATACCATGAAAAATTTTTATTCTTTAAAAGGCACCAACAAGAAAGTTAAAACACAACCTATAAAATGGGAGAACATATTTGCAGATCATGTAACTGATAAGGGACTTATGTCCAGAATATGTAAAAACACAACTCAACAATAAAAAGGCAAGTAATCCAATTTTAAAATGGGTGAAAGTTTTCAATAGACATTCCTCCAAAGGGGGAAAAAAAAACTAACAAATCAAAACCTCAATGAGATACTACTTCATAGCCACTAAGATAGCTATAATTTAAAAAATAGGTAACAATGTGTTGACAAGGATGTGGACAAAATGGAACTTTCATACCTTACTGATGGAAATGTAAATTGTGCAGCTACTTTGAGAAACTATTTGATAATTCCTCAGAAGGTTAAACATTGAGTTATACTATCCAGCAATTCTACTTCTAGGTATATAGGCCAAAGAATGAAAGCATACATTTACATAAAAACTTGTACATAAGTGTTCTTAGTAGCACTATTCATAATTGGCTAACGGTGGAAACAATCCAAATGTCCAACAACTGATGAATATATAGAATTACATCCAAAGGAATATTATTTGGTAATAAAAAAGAGTGAAGTACTTATATATGCTAACGTGAGTGTACTTCAAAAATAGCATGCTAAGTAAAAGAACTTAGTCACAAAAACAACATTTTTCTGGTTTCATTTCTATGGCATTGTCTATAAAAAGCAAATCTATACAGATAGAAAGTAGTTTCATGGCTGCTTTAAGCTAAGAGGTTGTTGGGGAAATGGGGAGTGACTGCTAACAGGTATAGGGATTTCTTTTGGTAATGATGAAATATTCTAAAATTGATCATAGTGATGGTTGTGCCACTCTGTGAATATAGCAACTATTGAATTGTACACTTTAAATAAGTGAATTCTGGCATGATTTCTTTAGACGTGGTTTAATCTTTCTGGATGTGGCACGTGAATTATATCACAATAAAGCTGTTTTTAAAACACAAGCGAGGAATTTTTTAGTTTTCACTACTGTAAGATGTTAACACTAGAGAAGGTGAAGTTAGTGTATACTTGAACTCTGTATTATGTTTGCAGCTTCTATGAAAATAAAAAAGTATTCCAAAATAAAAGTTAAAAATAAAAACTAGCTGGAGTTTAACATCTAGTGTATTTAAGAATTCCTCAAAGCAACAAGAAAAAGATTGAAAATCTGGTACAAAAAAGGAAAGTCAATAGATAAACCAGACAAAATGAAACATGAATGACTAAAAATGTATGAAGAATTTCTCATGAGTTAAATGAACAATGTAAAATAAAATAGAACATAACTCTTTATATCTGTGCGATGGCCAATATCACGAAGTCAGATAAGTCAAGTTTTATTGAAGATGAGGGCAAACAAGAACCCTCATGCTAGTGGGAGTGTAAACTGATGCAGCCACTCGGAAGAGCAGTAGGGCAATACTAACAAAGTTAAGTACGCAAATACCCAATGACCCAGCAACCCCATCCCCAAGCAGGTACTCCAAAGTCATGCATGTGTAATTCCACAAGGGGAAAGATATTACAAGGTTCATTGCCATAGTCTTTTTGGTGATGAGATGTTGGATGCTGCATGTCGGTCTCTAACACATTTATTCCTAACTCATGTTCATTCTGTTTCCTAGTGTGAATGTCTGCTTCAAAAAGCCAATCTCTTTGCTATCTTGTATAACTTTGTCATATTAGAATAATGGTTTCCTAAAGGGGTTTTTCTGGCTTTAGTTTCTTACCTGTCATTCAAAGTTTAAAAATCTCATTCTTTAAAGTAGAGATATCGTTTTTCACCTATTAGTTAGGTAAAAATAAAAATACAGATTTTATGCAGGTGTGGGAGAAAGAGCTCTGTTTCCAAAGAACTGTAAATGGGGGCAATTTATTAGAGGCTAATTTGGTAAATTATTATGCTTTTTAAATATGTATACCATTTGACCCAGGGATTCCATTTTAGAACTATATCCTGCAGAACTGCTTGCAAAAGAAAGCAAGAATGCTATTTGTAGCATTTTTTTCATAGGAGGGGAAATTTGAAAACCCACTTACATGAACATCAATGGCAAATATTTACATTATGACATCTCCATCTTATTTGATTCATATTTTTGATAATTTTCACACTTTTATTCACATTTTTAAATAATGATCTATGTACACTGTATAGAAGCATACTCATGAAAAAATGTACAGAATAATCTCATTTTTTGTGTAAAACAAAGAACAACAAAAATACACACAAATTTGAGTTCATGTGTGTTGTGTGTGAGGATGTACTATATAAAAATCAGATAAGTGCGTGTGTGTGTACATGTAAAAAATTTTTATAAAGGGACATATAGTACCAACTCTACCACTCACAATGTTTCTGGCTTATTTTTGCACCCCCTTTACTAAATTCCTATGACATGTTCCAAGCCTGTCACCTATGTCTTGCCTACACTAGCAATTGTAAATTTGTTGAGCAGATAAATCAAATCTTACATATGTCTTACATTTCCTGCATTGCCTATATAAGTACTCAAAAATGCTTGCTGAGTTGGGTTAAATACCTAACCTATGTGAGATTATAAATATATATATTTTTTAATACATTCCAAAATATATATGTGTATGCTTGACTCAGCTTAGAACTCAGTACCCAATAGAATCTTCTGGATGTATTTCATAATCCATTAAATTACAGAAAAATAATGGCTAAGGAATGGAACCAATTACGAATCAGTCAAAAATTAGACGTGTATTGGGTATTCAGCAAGTCAGAATAAATCTTTCTGATATTCGAGTCGCAGTTTGATTCTGTTCAAGAGAGAAAGTGCAGCTTGTGAGCCAATACAGGAGGGGAGAGGTCAGGATCTGATAAAGTAGTGCCAAAGGAAATTTGCTACCAGGAATGATATTTGTAGGTCCGAATAACCCCAAAGCTTATTTCTACGTGATGAAATAGACCATTGGACAATACATGTTTTCCCAGGAAAAAAATGACATTGTAATTCTCCAGTATTACTGCTGCTTCCCTTCTTATTATATTAAGTTCCACAAGTTTCCCAGAGCAAATAGAGCAAATAACATTTATAAAAAAGAGTCCTGTCTAAGCATTTTCACAACTTAGCATTTTAATAATACTTTGTATTACATAAGTGTGCAATTCTTATAACATTGCTACAAATAAATACGTTATATATTTATATTATATATATATGCTGTATGTAATACTCACATACCCATTTTCAGATAAAGATCAGAGAAGTCAAATAGTTGTTCAAAGTTACACATCTGTGAGTTTCAGTAGTAGAATTCAACCTGGATCAGTATAATTCCAAGCTCTTTTCCAGATTCCCTTCCCTCCACAATGATGTAACATATTACTGAAATCTATGGAAAAAAGGAATTTAAGTGCCAGGATATTTCAGATAAGAAGACCTGTCACTTACAGGTTTTGACAATTAGAGAAAGGCATCACATGAAGGTTAGGGCAGTTCCCTCACTGTTATTCCAGCTCAACATCATCAGCAATTATGACCAATATTCACTACAGACAGCTGTCACTCAGGGGCCTTGCAGACTGTGAATGTTTCAGATAGCCTCTGGAGGAGCTGTTCATTGCTTTTCCCAGCTTGTGCTTTAGTTTTATGTTCTCTATTTTTACAGAAGAGCTAGGCAAAAATCAGCAATGTACTATTGCTTCACCTTTCCACAAGACTGTCGCTGATAACTTAAGAGTGCTGGCTCTAAGCTCAGACTGCTTAGGTTTGAATCCTAACTCTGCCACTTACTGAATGACCTAGAGTAAACTGCTTAATCTCACTGGGCCTCAATTTATTTACCTATAAAATGAGGTTTGGGTTGCTACCTATCTCCTAGGTCATATGTGTACAGTGCCAATTTCAGCAGCTAGCTTATAGCGAGGTCTCAAGAAATATTAGCTAGTGTTCTTAAGGACGCTATAGATCAAATCACTCATGTTTTATTGAAATCTGTTTTAGAAATTAGTGTCAGGAAATAATTGTGTCTCTCTCTTATACCCCCAAACCCCATAGAATGGGGTTGTGCTTTCTCCATCCTTATAAAGAAGGCTAGGTCACCTCGGACAGTGATTCTTAAATTGAGGGCAGTATCTGAAGACATTTTTGGTTGTCACAACAGAAGGGGAGGGAGGGAGGTACTACTGGCATCTAGTGGTTGGAGATCAGGGATGCTGCTAAACATCCCACAAAGCACAGCCCCCTACAACAAAGAAGTTTTCAGTCCAGAATATCAAAATGAGGTCCAAACCCTTGGCCTAGGATATTGCTCTCCTTGTCAGTACTGCAGAGAAATTCACAGCCAAACTTTCACTCTCTCATTATTCTACCCATTTCTCACATTACTACATATCTTGTTTTTATATTATAACTTTATCATTTTTTGCCATAAAATTCTTCAAATTATTTTTGGGAAGAAATGAGTTATATATAAATTCAACCCTTTAAAATGGCTAGGTGAATCTTCCAGCCCCATGTGCCATTTTTCCTGATTAGTGGGTCAGTCAACGTGCATTCCGTTATTCTTACACTTTTAGAACTCACTGCTAAATATTATATAGCACCCAGAATAGTGTCATGCAGAGATAAATGAGGTTTACGATGATTATGATAATGACCTTTCAGCATGTGAAATATTAAAAGGAGTCACAAAGCAGAATGCTGGCAATCAATCAATACATGTACAGTATTTATTGAGCCCCTGTAATGAACTCTGCTCTGTGCTGGATGCTACAAGGGAAGAGAGGTGTGTCTTAAACTTCTTTTGTATCCCTTGAGGAGTGCTTAGGTAAGTTCCTAAGAGAGAAAAAGAGCGATACTTTAAAACATGAAACAGATATAAAACTCTGTGTCCCTAAGTGTTAGGTTGTGTAGAACAGTTAAGTGGATTTCTCATAAGATAATTAGGTACAATAATTTAAAATATTTATCATTCAAGTTTTTTATAATTAAGTAATATGATCCTATGTTAAAGTCATTGAAAATGTAGGTAACCCCTTTTTTAACCCATTAAATTATCCAAAATTAAATTATTTTAATTTCTAAAAATACATACAAATTAAGATAATTTTACTTCCTAAATGTAATGGAGGAGCCTCTGGCTTGTGGTCTCGGCCTAATCTAAGAATGGTTGAGGGGTTGATATTGCATTTGATAAATCCCTAGTGTATCTGAAGTCCACCCTTTTTATGCTTAAGCTAGTTTAATTTTCAGATTTTAAACATCTATAGGATCTAACTAGAATTTATAAATTTAAGAGGCAATAGAACTGTTTCTTGGTTTATTATATTAAATCAATGATACTATTCAGGCCAGAAATTGAACAGATTATTCACAACAAACTAGTTTATGGAAACCAACAAACCTTATCAAGGAAAGGTCAGGTGTTCTCCAGAAAGACTGTATACAAAAAGTGAAGATGCACACAGGTTTCCTGGACTTTTTCTTTGAGTACATAGTGTGAATATCTGACTGTGAGATGGTTCAGAATGTAGCTGTGTGTTGTGTGGGGGACACTCAGCATTCTTTACCTTCAGGGTGGCAATTACCTTCACAATTGCATGCACATGGAGAAGAAAATATACTCCAAATTACATTGTGAACTCTGGAGATTAGTGCATCATTTCATGGACAGTTGAATCTGTGTTCCATATAAATGTTTCCATAGCAAAACAAAGAACATCATTATACCGTCTTCTGGATTTCCAAGGAGTCTGCATTAGGGTTTTGCCACCTGACTTCCATTACAGGGAATGGGAGTCAGGGGGCTGAGACCGCAAACCATGCTTTGAAAATTTAGAGGGACGTGTCAGTGTCTGGACTTAAACATTCATCTTTGTGCTCTTTGGTGGCAATTGAGTATAAGATGCATTGCCTCTTCCATGCCTTTTGGGAATGGCGTTATATACAAATTGTGTCTGTGTAGTCAAGTATATATGCCATAACATGTAGCCATAGAGCACTTTAAGCCTGCAAAAGGAGTTTAAAATGCTTTATAGTTTGAAGTCAACCTCTTGAGTTCTTGACCCTATAGGAAAATTTGAATAATGACTTCCTGCATTATTGAAATTGTGAATTAAGGCAGTGTTTCCCATTCTGAAAGTTGTATTGTCAGGGTGAAGAAAATCTCTGAACTTTGAGCTGTTTGATTGAGTTGGGAAGATTTCCTCTGGCTCTTAGCCATTACCAACCCCCCTCCCCATCGTGTCTCACCTTGACTTCATACTCGCTGGGTCATGCCCTTCATTTATATAACACAGTGTTTGTTTAGAGGCTGAGTTTCATGGTTTCTGTTCCATTGTGCCCAAAATGCTTGCAGCCAGAGTTTTCAGCGTCTGTTATTGTATGCTTTTTCCCACAAATTCTTCTTCCTACCCAACTCTCTTTCCTCAACTGAGTTC